GAAGATATCAGAACATATAAGAACCATATAAGAAACTTGTAAGAAGTTTCTTATAAGTTGCTTATATGGTTCTTATATATCTTATTTAGTTCTTATATACTTCTTATATACGATTCTTGTGTGGTTCTTATACGTTCTTTTATATCTTGCATGATTCATATGCGTTTATGGGACACGAGAAATTTCTCCTACAAATGGATTTTTCGGTAGGGACGCAGCTGGTAGAGAGAGAGAGAGGAGAGAGTAACGCGCAGCTGTTGGAGAGAGGGAAGGAGGAGAGTTGCGCATGCGTAGTGTGAGTGCGGGCTACGACGCCGCGGGACATAGACCCGAGCAAGAGACGCTCCGCATCTAAAAGTACGAAATGGACACATAACTTTCTTTTTGGAAATAAGGCTCTGGTTGTGCTTTAAAACTGACTCCCCAAACTCAGCAAGAATTGGAGCTGGGGAACTACCTTCACTACCACAGTCATTTAAACAGAAGTCTGCATTTTTTTTTCTTTTTAGTGAATGAATTACCTGCTTCATCGAGCAAACCGGCGTTATCAGCTCCTGACTCCGCGCCAAACGGCACCTAAAATCCCCGTCCCATGGAGTAAAGCTTGTAGTACATACGTAGCAACGAATTGATGGATAAACTCGTATTTGCTGACGCGCAGCATGGTTCCAAAAAACGCCACCCCATAGAGAAGCCCTCTCCATGGTGCAGCGGCCCGGCACCCGGCCGCTTCTAAGAGGGAGAGAGTGGCCGGGCTCTGGCAAAGCGGCCGTGGCAGCCTACGCAGAGTTTGCTCGACCGGTCTCAGCGCGGCGCGCAGCTGGTGGGAATCATAGTTATTATAATGTACGCTAGAGGTTCAAGTGGCGCTAGTGTGCTGACGTAAATTGAAGCAGACAGCAACCGTCGAAAATGGACTTCCGCTAATGCATTTCTATGGGAAAAAATTGAGTGCATTTTCTCCTGGCGCTCGATCATAAGAGTAAATATCCCGAATAATTCGTACGTATTAGGTAGCTTGGAACATTTCTCAGTCAGGCCGACGAAATAATTGGTCAGTTACGGCGTTTTTCTTTCAAATTCATCACATTAAAAACGGTGCTAAAACGGCTTCGTACGTGTATTTATGTACACTGTCGGACACTGTTAGCGCGAAAACAACGTCAGTGTTTTTCAGCATGAAACATATACGTGTCAAACGAACGGAGCTCATCTGGAAGCCAAGAAAGACGGCAAGAACTACGCAGTAACACTGGATCAGTAAATACCCGTGCATGTACGATCAAAATAAATTGAAGGCCACGTAATATATTCGGATTTTAAATAAGTAAGTACTGCTTTATTATTTCTGCTCTGTGCGAATTTCTATGTTCAAAATGTTACCCGCACGCTCGAAATCTTTGAGAACAAGTGCCCGATAAAAGCTACCCGGCGGAGAGAACAATACTTTATTTTTTACGTTTTGTATGTTTTTATCCGCTCATGCACGACGGGGTCGTTTTCATATAATGACAGGACTGGCATATGATCAATATATAAGCGTCACCGGAATGCTGGCGGGTTTTGAACACACTCTGTATTCCTTTCGAATGTAATTTGGCTTTGAATAGCCGCTTATTTTTACAAGCCCGCTGCGGAACACACGTTTGGGACGGCTGTATCTCAAACGTCCTATTCGCATTTGAACATTGCACATCTCGACCCATTCTCATTTGGTCCTTCTCATTTGAACCTTCTCATAAGATCCGAATCGTGTTGTTCGCAACTGGACCCATTCTCATTTTGCCCATTCGTGCTACGACCGAATGGCACTAGTTCGGCATGCTTCTAACGTCGTTATGCCTTCGCGGCTTTGTTGATGAGCCTTACCTTGCTTGGGCCCCCAACGTATACCATCAGATATACCGGGTGAAACAAGGAGACGGTAGGCTCTTTAAATCGACCGGAAAATTCGGTTTCTTAACCAATCGCGCTACGACTTTGTGCAGCGTTGCCCACAGATGGTGCATTTTTTTCGTAAAATTTGCAAAGAGCGAACTTACCTGAGGAAAAAGTAAAGAAAGAAAAAGGCTTAGCTCCTATGGAAACGCAGCGACGCCACCGGTCTGCAATCAACACGGCGCCGTTTCGCACGGTAGACAAGAGATGGCGCAAGCGGTCGCGACGCCAACTGCCGCCAACGAACGAGCAGACGACGCCGAGAACCGGCGTTTTTAGCAGACAAGGAACTGCAGTTGCTTGTTGTTACCGTGCCTGTTTTTATTTCTGCAACTGTCGCCGTTTGAGGAACGCGCGCCGCTTTTGATTCGAAAAAATCGTCTGCTAAAAACGCTGGCTCTCGGCGCCGTATGCTCATTCGTTAGCGGCGTTCGTTGCGCCATCTCTTGTCTACCGTGCGAAACGGCGCCGTGTTGATTGCAGACCGGTGGCGTCGCTGCGTTTCCATAGGAGCTAAGCCTTTTTCTTTCTTTACTTTTTCCTCAGGTAAGTTCGCTCTTTGCAAATTTTACGAAAAAAATGCACCATCTGTGGGCAACGCTGCACAAAGTCGTAGCGCGATAGGTTAAGAAACCGAATTTTCCGGTCGATTTAAAGAGCCTACCGTCTCCTTGTTTCACCCGGTATGTTATGTGTAGAGGTACGCACTGAGAATCGTACATTGTCGCCTACTTCGCTTCCTCTAAGCAAACGAGAAAAAAAAAAAAAAAGCGATGAACATTCAATTTGGAAACTTTGTTTGAACAGAAATAGCACACATAATATAGCAGTGCTTCTCAACCATTGATGTTTCGCGGACGCCTTGTAGAAAGGCGGAGATGATGGAGGACCCCGTTCGGAGTGAGGGGAATAGAAAGGTATAGGTTAATCATTCTAATGATTTAATAAATGAATATAACTACTTCCTAGTGCGAAGTACACTTATCTCAATGACATACAGATGAGACTACTCTCCCGAAAATTGGAACGTTTGTTCTCAACGTGAAGAAAGACAACTAATATTGCCGTGCCGGACTGATGAGACAGGGCTTCGCGGACCCTTAGGTTGTCTTCGCAGACCCCTATTGAGAACCACTGCATTATATAGAAGAGGTGGCATGGTCCCAAGTCGAGAGACCTCAAACAACGTGACATTTCGGAATATGATCTGGCTGCGATAAATAGTTGGTCCGTTTTATTATCAGCTCGTAGTTTTTCACGACGACCTCGACGCACTGTTAAAATCCTTAGCAGAGAGAGTATGCCCGTAGTGTGGCACACACACACGCACACACAAATTATATCAATGTAATAATATTACCCTTAAAAACGATTTTGGTATAGAAAGAGTCAAATGCGACGTGTCAAAGCGAGATATTTTTGAAAATGGCTGTTTTGAAAATGGCGAAACGAGGACGGGCCCAAATGAGGCCGTTTGGAATGCAAAAGACGAAACGGGAAAGGACCAAATGCGACAGGTCCAAGAGAGATCTTTTTGAGAACGGTTGTTTTAAGAAAAGCCAAGTGAGAAGGCCAAACGAGAACGAGCTCAAATGATAACCACCGTTTGGGGCTGAAATGTAGTGAAGTTAAACATCGTTCACTGATGAAGAAAAATGCGCTAACTAAAACAATTACACTTTTACAATGTTAATCAAGGTGCATACTATTCGGTACGACCCAAATAACCAAAGTGTTCCGTGTTATTTTCCGGCGAACAGACAAAATGCACGCGCGTTTTCCCATAGGAATGCACAGGAGCACCGCAAAAGGAGACTGGTTGCTGTCTGCTTCAATTTGCGTCACGGAAGTCGCATTGACACTAGTGCCAGTTGAACCTCTAGCGTACATTATAATAACTCTATGGTGGGAATACGCTACGTATACGAATGCTTTCGCATTCCAACATGATAGCAGACTTAAATGGCCTTGTAGTTGTTGTTGTTTTCGCCAACGTTTTTGAAAGTTAGAGCAACATAATTTCCGAACCGATCGCGCTAACCCCCGCGTCAGCCACTGCTCCTAACACACCGATGCCAACCGGTGAAGCTCGACGCAGGCGCGCCTGTGCGAGGCGGTTGACGCGAGCAGCGCGCATAGTGTCATGACATGGAGGCATGTGGTCCCCATGTCGTTGAACATTAGTGTCGACCATTGTTATTATTATTATTCCTTATTGAAGCTCATCCTGGAGCAGGTGTGCCGCAATTATGAGCAAAAATGGCATTTTGGTGCGACATGTAGCAGACGCGTTCACGGCGCAATAGACCGATCTCACCAGCTAGTTTACGCCACCGCTGCCGACATGCATCGTGGGAGCTGTAGTCTTTCTGCGCGCGTGACAACCCTGCTGGAGGTCTGCGCGAGCAGAGCACGAGGCGGCATGAGCTCTCTCGTGAACTGGCGTCTGCCTCCTACGAACTAGTTATGGCGGCGTTCTCGCATGCGTGGAACGCTTGGTGAGATCGGTCTATTGGGCGCGACGCTTCCATCGAGGATTTTACAAAAGAAAAAAATATTGGAAAAATAGTAGAGTACCATACTATTTGCCACTTTGTATCGTTGAAATGTAGGAGTCGTTGGAGATACTCCAAGGAAACGTTGAAACGGTTCAGGAATAATGCCGCACACAACCTCACGCAAAAAAAAAAAAACAAAAAAACACGCAAGATTGCATTTGATATAAGGCTGTAGCACTGGCCAACTGCACGTGACTCGTGACAGTTGCGAGACTCGTCAAGAAATTTCCTCGTGCGTAGCAATTTTTGGGGGGAAAGCAGTCTTACGAGCCGGGAAAAGCTGGTATCAGAACGGCCAGGGCGGGACTTATAATTGTAAATGTTTTCCGCAATGCTTTGGCTGCGCGCGCGTGCTTGAGGTGTACAGGACTTCGAAGCATTGTCGAGGGTAAAAAGCCCGCGCTGGAGACGGGACATATGAGGCACCTCCCCGACCCTCCTACCTTGCCAGCGACTATAGCAGCTCTAATGGAGCATTTGTATGCAAACAAACGCACCACTGCATAATGTGCATCCATTTTATTCGCTTTACACTGTTCTATATGGACCGAAACATCAATACATGGTTAACGAAGATTAACGTAAACATTTCCATTCCAGCTTATTAAAGTACCGTCTTCAATACCACTCTCTCTGTAGTGATGGGCACTCGGCAAGCGACGCTTTCTATGACATATGCGTGCAAGCTTGAAGAAGACTTGGATGAGATAGGAACTGAAACAGCAATGCAAATAAACCCTCCATTTGAATACACCACACAGAAAACAGAACGGAAGAACGAGACTGTTGCACAAAAACCCGATGTAAAAAACTTAATAAGGCTAAAGTTTAGTTTTTTTTTTTGTTTAGGAAACAAGTGGAAGCCAGCGACACTTTTAGTTCTTTAAGGACTCTTTGTTGAGCCTCAGTTAGTATGTTATTTGCTACTGTTTCGCGAGAGTGCTGTAGCCTAGGTGTTTACACGGTACACCGTTATATAGCACACTGTATTCTCCTCCAAACGGCCAGTGCAGCGAAAGCTACGATCACGTCCTCCTTGCCTTGAATGTGCCACTGCTGAAAGTGTCCTCGACCACTGAGTGAACCAGTCAAAGCTATGACCTTGTGCTTGTAGCATGGCACCATGCCGAATGTGCGAGCTTAGAATATTAACAACAATCAGCAAAGCAAATCCAAGTAATTAAGAATGTCCCGAAAACGGTCACCGGAATATGAACACATCTGAGATTGCGAGTCCCGTCCGGCACATAGCTAAAGATTAGTCACTCAAACAAGAAAACATCTGCAGGAAATCTAAGTAAAATACAGCAAATCCTAGAACAACAAAAACAAAAAAATTCTGGTTGGCACTGACAGGACGGCAGACTGCATTGAGAAAAAGCTTAACTCACATTGCAACTCAACTGTCCAAGCAGCATAGCGTCTATGGTGCTTTGAAAATGTGACATTCCAAGCCTATAAGGCAATAATCATAAAAAGGTGTATTGGCATAACTGCTAAACCTAACTGCAACTTTAACAAAAAATTCACGTTCCTCAAAAGATGTGCGGTTGGTGCAAAGCGCGAGAAAACTACGATAATGCAAACCAGTCTGGCTTAAACCTACCCCAACACATTCCTACAAAAAATAATAAAAACAAAAGTTAGAACATTAGAGGTAAATTTTATCCAAACTTTCCAGAATAACACGCATCAGTCTGTGGTCTGTGTACCTCTTTTGTCCATATCTTTAACATGGTATTTGAACAATAAATCCATACCTGCTAGCCCCAGTTGAAACAGTTCAAACTTTTGGGACCTTGCCCGCTTGAATAAAACCTTAAAACACATGCCCATAAACATTTAACAAATACTACAATTTGTACCATAATCCGCACAGATCAGTGAATAAATACAAGAGTGACATTGTATCTGTACTAATATGCAAAGTGCATATCCACCAAAAAAAGAAAAAAAAAAAAACATTCTCTCTTACATCTTAAATGTGAAGCAAGGTGCAAAAATTCTGGGACTGGGTTCAAGTGTCCAGGATTCTTAGATATACAAAACCGAAACACATTCTCCTTCAGAACATGCCCTTCCTCGACACACTGAAGTACTCGTCAAAGCATTTCTGGAAACTGATCTTTGCAATGACCTTTAGTTCAACCAGCCGATGTGTCTATTCTTTTTCTGCACTCGAAAACAGAAGACCCTGAAGGCCATGGGCTCTGGAAACAGCTGGAAGTCGCAGGCTGCGAGGTCATGTGAGTAATTTGGGTGTTGGAGGGCATATTGCCCTCCAACACCCAACTAACGTTCTCGCCTTGTTCAGACAAGGACGTAAGAAACCAGGAACGACCTGTGAGGGAGCCGTCACTGGTAGCCCGCCACATTCGCCATCTTCTTTTTCTTGCCGTCCCTGAACCGTCAAGACTGTTTAAAGGCTGGCTTTTGAATGACTATATGTATTCGCCATAAGCCTCCTTCAATATGTTGTAAATTTCTGATGCATTTCTCCTTAAACAAACGCAAAGTTTAATGTTAATATGCTATTCAATAAATTATATTTTTTAGTAGTCACAGAGCAGCTCTCAACACCCGATGTACCGTAGTGACTGTGTGACCTAAAATCACATCTTTGTACAAGGGGAGTTATGTCGTAATCTAAATAAAAAGATTACCGTGGACGTGCATACACAAGTGTTGCCTTGGAACCCAGTCCTAGAACTTTAGGATCCTACATCACTTATTCATCAGATGTCACTTTGTTTAACAAAGTTCATGTTTAGGAGAAAAACCCATAAACCATAGAGATCTTCCATAAACTCCTGCTATACAACAGCAAAGGCAGCCCTTTAAAATAATAAGAGGCAAACTGAATCTCACAATACCATATTTGGCATTACATTTCTTTTTTTAACTGACAGCAAACGATTTTTAAGTAAGCAATCAAAAGAGAATTACTCTCTATATTGCTACATGCCTGTCCAAAAAAAAACACTGAACAAAGATCTTTGGTAAACCAATGCCAAATAAATGATCAATAAAGATTAAGCTCATACAGTGCCTATCTAGTGTACAAGAAAAATACGAATTGGAGCAGTACAAACACTAACAACTTAAAAAGAACCACCTATTGAAACAAAAATGTAACCCATCCATTGCAAATTTATGTACCATCATCTTACACTATACTTCGCACATATATTTGTGGCCCAACAGCATATTCCTAGCAAGCCACGAAGCACTACTGTGAAACTCAAGGATTCATGAGTAGGAAAACACTGTTTAATATTTACGACCGATGCATTGGCACAATGCACGTCGTGTTAAAACACAAAAAAGTGTATGATGGTTGCATTGATAAAAAAAAAAAAAGCTACATGTCCCAGGCATCCTACTAATGCCCACTTTTACACAAAAACACACTTCGTGTTAATTTTGGAGGACACATTTCTTGGGTGAAAATTAAAACCCCATTCCGCAAAAACCTCTTTCCGCGAAAAAAAAATAAATTCCTTAGATAGTTTGCACCCAGTGTATAGTTCATAGTCGCCAATTTCAGCTGAGGGCAAGGGAAACAGTGCAACTATGACCCTGCTTTACTGTTCTGTTGAAACAGAAAACGAAAGCCCGGAACCAATGACCTCGTGTATGGGCCAATGCACTGTTTACAAACAAGCCGACACGAGGTGTGGGCACTGCACATGCCTGGGAACCAGATTCGTGTGAAGTAGAGCGTCTGCACATGTGCCCTGCCAATACACGTTTGCAAGTACAACCTCAGGCCACCGCCATCTTGCTTAATTGGAGTGCGCTTGGGCACGGCCATTATCGGATTATGGCCGCGCCCAAGCGTACCACAGGTGAGCACGATGGCCGGCGCCCTGACGCCATACTTACAAACGTGCACAGCAGCGCCACCGCAGCAGCCCGACGTCAGGGCTGCATGTTGGTGTATAGTCTGCAAGGCACGAAATATCAACATTTAGAAAAAATAGGTTGTGTATAATCCGCACAGCGTCAAACATGAAGCTTTAGAAGAAAAAATAAAACGAACCGTGTATAGTGTGCACCTGTGTATAGTTTGCGCAGCACAAAATATGAACCTTTAAACATGTATAGTCCGCGGACTATACACCAGAAAATACGGTAGTGTACAATACAACTCTTCACAAACCTACATTCCTCAAGAGTAGGCAAGACATACATGACGGAGGTAAATTACCCTTTCGTAATCCACGCACTTCTCTCCTCAAAAACACGCACACCGGCAGCCCAAGCAACCCCGACTCAACAGATACAACCACCCTCACACTCTTTGGCTCTGTCGGCGCGACTGCTCCCAACTCGCCCATCATTCGCTCCGGCCACAAAAAGGCACCTCGCGCGATCCACACATGCAAACTTACACCCTCCTAGAGTGGAGCGAGGCGGTCGGAGATGGCGGCTTGCTGTACAGGAATATCGACCCCATCACCAGGCCGGCACCGACCACAAATTTGCCCGTGAGCTGGAACTCAAAGGCGTACACCGACACCACGCACGAGAGGACGATGGCAAGCGAGGTGGCAAAACCCTTGAGGATGTTGTCCGCATACTTCACCACCACTGCGACGAGCAGCCCCCCCAGGGCCTGGAGCAGTATGACCGTCCAGATGAGAGCGTTGTACCCGTGGAAGAAACCCCGCGTGTGCACCTCCTCGTAGTCGCTCACGAGCGTCGTCAAGAGTCCGAAGGGCACCGCAAACGTGCTGAGCTGTACGTTGCGCATCCACACGGACACGTCGCTGCCCTTCAGGATCTTCTCGAAGTACACGCCCGCGAAGCCGGATAGGCAGCAGGCGGCCACGATAGCGAGGAAGCCGACCATCGGGCGCTGGACGTGGCCCGAAGGGTTTGGGGCGGGAGCGCCGAGTTGGGCCAGCTGCACGAGTGCGACGCCGGCGAAGAGGACGAACAGCGCCGCCCACTGTGTTTTGGAGATCTTCTTCTGGAGAAGGGCAAGCGAGAAGACCGCCGTGGTCAGGATCTTCAGCTGGTACGTCACCTGTGGGCGGCGAAGAGACGCAGTTGAAGGGTCATGGTCTGGTCTAATGGAGTCGAGGGTTTGTCTCGTACAACGTGGATCTCTGAAAAGCTCTTCGGATTAAATGAAAAATGCCGAACGAAGTCCCCAGATGGTAAGTCCAAGCACCTTGCAGCCAGGTCAAGTGCGACAACACCAGATAGAAACAAAAAAGCACGATTTGAGCCGATATAAAATTAGAAGAATAAATAGCTGAAATCAAGAGGCAAAATATTTCTACTGAAGGGAGGAGCAATATACAGTGTGTTTCACGACAATCGAGCTATAAGTCTACAGCAAATCCCGTGCGCTGCAAAGAAAAAAAGTTTGATGTCACACTTATCACTGCCAAGGTAACTATTTATAGAGATGTACAGCATTCGTGCTTATTAAGCATTTAATTATTTTATACTTTTTTCACAATTATACTTCTTAACACGTACACAGATTAATACATAGTTTCAATTACAAGCATAATTGACATTGACAGAAACCACAAAATAAATCGCTTTTATAAATAATTGTCTCATGCAGCACTTTTTCGCATCCCTTTGATAAAACCAATTTGACTGAAATGCTGAGGTGCCAGTTTCCTCTTGGCCACACCTTAAAGGGGCAGTGCAACGATTTTCAGGCTTTGGCCAATTAATTGTGGGAATTAACCTATGTCACCTATGGAACAAAGGACAGAAAACCCTTTTTTCTCGTATGCCCTAATTTCAATTTTAGAAAACAAAATAAATTGAAGGTCAGGGTACCCCTCAAATCTCGCACCGTTTTTTGAATGACCTCACTGATAGTACCACCCGCTTTTCCCATTGGGTTCTGCCTTCAGGGCCCCCGGAGTTCCTTCACTCAGCGGCTGCAGACTTTTCAAGGTTTGGTTAGCCGCTGTACCTGCTTAGCATTGGCAAGGGCCACCGTAAGCGATCGTGGCAAAAAAGGTTTGCCGCGGAGTCAACGGGGAGGATAGTGGCGGAAAGGGAATGGTTGATATTTATTTATTCATCAATACTACTAATCCTCACTGGAGGATTTTCGTAGGGTGGTACAAAACAAAGATGTACAGTAAAACCTCGTTATAACAAAGTTGAAGGAGCGGTCGTAATTATTTCGTTATAACCATTAGTTTGTTATAGCCACTGTCCATTTCTTCCCACTATTAGCAAGCAAAAGGACTTATGATTGCTTTGTTATATCCATTAGTTTGTTATATCCCATTTTGTTATAACGAGGTTTTACTGTATAGCCATAGTAGAGATAAAACAGTTATACCGAGGGTAACATATATGAAACGTGAATGGAGTAGATGAGACATGGTATTTTCACATCATGAGTACTTCGACATCATTCATGAACTGTGTTAGTGAGCTAGCGCAGAGAACGTGAAAGGGCAAACTGTTCCATTCCTGGACTGCGAGCGGAAAGAAGTGAAAATTTAAAGCAATTTTTTTTAGGTTTGAGCTCCCTGAATAATTAATTCCCCATGGTTTGAACGGGTTTCTTTTCCATTGTAGGGAATAAGGTACTTGGATTTTTTTACTTTAGTCAAGTTTTTGGCTATTTGGTAAATTAGTTTCAATCTTGTAAGTTTAGCTCTTTATCCTAATTGCTGCTCGCCGAGCACTCCACACAACTCAAATAGTGAATCACGCGTGCCAAACTTATTGGTAATGAGTCTTACAGCGAGCCTCTGCACTTTATCTAATTTTTGTATGTTAGTTTTTGTGAAGGGGAACCAGACAGGGCTGGCATATTCAAGCACAGGTTGAATAAGAGTCATGTAGGCTAACAGCTTGGTATCGCGGGAAGCGTATTTGAGTCGCCCTCTTATGCACCACAATTTTGTTAGCACTTTTTTGGTCACTGCGTCTATGCGCATGCCCCAGTCCAGATCACTTGTGAACAAGACACCCAGGTACTTGAACTCGTGCAAGTTTTGTATAGTATATCCGTTGATGTTATAAAAATGGTTCAGTATGTTTTTTTTTCAACTCATGGAAATGGCTACTGTTTTGTCTGAGTTAATAAGCATCTGCCATTCTTCACACCAGTCCGAGATCTTGTCCAACGCGCTTTGTAATTTTAAGTGGTCCGAAGAATTTGTTATTTCAGAATATATTATACAATCGTCAGCAAAGAGTCTAATGTTGATGTCGATGTACAGTTATGTCATTAATATAGAGCAGGAAGAGAAGCAGGTAAAGTACTGAACCCTGAGGTACTCCGGAACACACGGTCTTATCAGCTGAGCTATTTCCGTTAATTTCCACGAATTGAGATTGCCAGAGAGGTAGTCCTTAATCCAATTTACAACTTGTCCGTCGCCTAAGATTTTCGTTAACTTGAAAAGTAGTTTATTGTGGGAGACTCTGTCGAATGCTTTTGGCAGGCTTTCCGTTGATTTCCGTCGGACAGCGCCGCAAGAACTTGTGCACTCCCCAGGCATCGCACCCACGACCGCCATACGGTGCTGCAGATTGGAAAATAATGTGTATTTTCCTGCGCGATTACACAGCGGAATTGCAGTATGTTACAGGGGAAGGTGGGACGATTTCTCTCACTTGTGCCAATATATGCAATTTAAAGAAACACAAGCTGGAAATCCTTTCAAAGTCAGAATTGTTGCACTGCTTTCTTTAGGCTGGACTTCATAGAGCAAAAAAATGTGACGAATTTTGTTCAGCGGCGGTGGCTGTTGTGTTGCGCGCAACGTGAGCGAGGTGCTGGACGAAGTTCGTCGGTTGCAAACAAAGTGCAACAAACACAACGCACGCAACAAAAGCAAAGAGAAACCGCCGATCATACCCACTCAACAGCCTGGATGAAGACCCCACCCAAGTTCAAATGCTGTTGCAATACTATATAATATTGTTGCTCACTCAGCCAGATACTTGACACACGTGCACAGAATGCCATGATCTAAAAATTGGCAGCGATCTCTACCTTTAATATCCTATGATGTATAAAATGCATTTTAGGAAATTGGTGAGAGAATTGGCATGTCACGCGACGTATATTCTTCTGCCAAATCTAGCGGCAAAACTAAATGGTTGTTTAGGTCACGTAGCGCTAATTTCCTTCGCTAAACCTAGAAAGGAAACTGGATTAGTGTCTAGGTCACAAGATGTGAATTTCGCCGCTAAATTTAGCGGGTAACTAAGTTGGTGTATATGTCATGTGATGCCAATTTCCCGCTAAATTTAGCGGGGAAACTAGATTGATGTTTTGACCACAAAATGTGAATTTTCCAGCTAAATTTAGCGGGGAAACAGTTGACGCATAGGTGCCATCAATTTCCCCAAGGTGTATGGGTCATATGACGTCAGGTGATGCCATTTTCCCACCAAATTTAGGGGGGGAAACTGAATTGGTGTATAGGTCCAGTGACATCAATTTTTCCGCTAAATTTGGCCAAGAAACTGAATTTGTGCGTCTCGTAATGTCAATTTCCCCGCTAAATTTAGCGACAAATGCACGGACAGATGTACAAAAAAATTCTGGGATTGGGGGGGGGTAGAGTTAAAGAGCACTGCACGCTTTAAAAAACTAAATACAAAGCCCAGCTGTTACTTTAGGGCATCAATGCCCTTCCTAAAAATTGCCCTCAATATAGACTGCCACGTAGCATAGCTCATTCAGCCACAAATGGAATGCGTTAATTCTATCCCTTACACACTTTCGAAATCATTTCCGTTTACTCTAAAATGCTACAACAAGCACTAGGCTTTGTCTAGAATTATTTGGTTGTGTCGTAGTATCCAGAAACATTTGATTGCATAATGAAAATGTAAGAGATGGATTTATAGACCCCCACGGCAAGGCTTACGCGAGTTATACAAAAATGACGGCTTTTAAAACGAAGCACGACTGAATTTTATTTTCAACTGCATCATGATACAACCTTAGGAACAAAGGTAGAGGTTCCACTTCATTGGGCTTTAGCCTCACGATATGCAGTAAAAAATTTTGTTTGACCAATATCTAGAGACGACAGCTCTTGTATTAGCAAAAATTACAATATTTCAAATATTTTCAGAATTAATGTGAGAAAACAACAAAAAAATCTGCAACTTGACATAACAGAAGCCTTTGCAGCTGATGACCAAAAAAATAACCAATATAAGCGGTAGAAAAATTGTTACATGATCACCCCAATAATCAATTACAAGCTATCGTGCAATCGATAATTTTTTATGTCGGTCATCGGTTGACGCTCATGATGTCACTGCTGATCGACGTCATCGCTTGACACCGTGACATTGCATGATCACGTGACGCCTGTGTCGGCACGTTGCCGCCAGGTGGTGCATCTGGGTTGCCAGTGTTGCTTCCAATGTCAGGTGTCGCATCCGGGTTTGCCGCTCGGGGAGCCGGCAAGGGGTGAGTAGGCTTGCCTGTAACATCAGACATCATGTGCCTGCTGCATGAAAAAAAAAGTTCCTGTCCTTGCCCGAATCGAATTGACGACCGTTCGTTTTTTAATTGGACGCTCTAACCGCTGAGCTATTGAGGCGGCTCAATTTCCTGATCATTACAAGCGCTAGAAATTCGCATCAGCGCCAAAACTGTGTCATTTGAAAAGTTGGCTACATTTTTGACAATAACAGACCATGTTAACTGAAGTGTGGCTCGTTGCGGGTGCTAGGAATTCGCGTCAGCACGAAAACTGTTTAATTTTAAATGCTGGCTAAATCCTTGACAATGGCAAAGACTGTGTTAACCGAAGTGTGGCAGTAGCGACATCTGTTGTAGATGGTTTCCTTATGCCATCTGTTGGTAAGAAGTCCAACTAAAAATTAGGCTGCTGTGGCATCTATTGCAAATAAAAAAAAAAAAGAGTTAATGGCAATTTTTGTATTTTTACACTTGAGATTATACTCCCACGATGCACGAACGTTTGAACCATTGAGGCAATGTTTCAAGTTCAGAGTTTGAATTTTATTCGAGTTCACACCAGGTTTCTTGGGATAGTCTGTTTTTGTCCAAACCCATATCACCACCATTGATTTGGGGCAAAGATATAGCCTGATGTCTTCGTTAAGCTTTAGTTCGAGAGTGCAATTTCCATACGGTTTCGGCTGCATCACACCAAGGCTGATGGCGAGCACAGACACGATTACAATGAAGACCACTATCATGAGAGACCCGAGAACTTGCCAACTTCATTCCATAATGACATTGTCTGCGTACGATTCAGAGAACTACCGTATTTACTCGAGTAATAGCCGCATTATTTATGAACAAGGCCCTTGTGTCTACTTTTCTGCAAAGCACATATACAGCCAATCATTGTATTGCTCATAAATAACATAGCGAATAACCAGATGGAGAACGCGATTCTCCATACAAATGCAACCTTCAAAGATGGTATCTTCACGCAAAGACGTTATCTCTGTCCTGTAAACCGCTAGAATCATGCTGTCGATCGCGGTGATTGGCAATCTGCGTGCTCCACGGAAAAGCAAACCCTCAGATTTTCTTCATAAACAGTGCGGCTATTACTCGAGTAAATATAGTATATAAGCAAACATAGACTCGGGCAGGCAGGTATAGGGCTTGTCAAGTGGTTTCCTGTAAGACCCGCTTTAGGCGGGGCAACTTTCCCAGCAATTTCGGTGTTGCTGGTGAGTTGTTCCCTAGCTTTCCCTAAAGCAACATGAATTGCTCGGATCGCGTCAGGGTTGAAACGGACGAGCAACTCTGACGACTCGAAGATTTTTGAAGTGGCAGCAGCCAATCAGGGATGCAATATTTTCTCGTGACACCCCGTGCCGGTGATGATGACAACTAAAGACTTGGTTTTGGTTTGAAAATGATAGTCTTTGGGAATAAACTATTTCAGAAAGATGGGTTAGTATTCTCAACACCATTTAAAAGTATAAAAACGTGCTTATAACGCGGAACTGTGTGTCTACATAGTGCAAGGAAAATCAAATCAAATGATGATATGGCAAATCGTAGCAACTGGTTGCTGCACGTGTACGCGGACGGCCCATGTTGCTGCTGCTGCGACGTCAAGCTGCTGGGAGAAATAGCCCTGACTAAAGCGTGCCAAATAAGAAAGGCAATATCAATAAACTTGTTTCCGAGTGTTTTTCTTTTAGACGTTCCCTACCACTACATTTACTGCTCTCGTTACAGGTTGGTCGTAAAATAGTTTTGCAAGCAGGTCTGAGGCAAACGGTGAATGACTGACATGCAAAGCAGTTCCCAGCACTACTAAATGTATGTAAAAAAAGAGTGTGATATTCCATTTTCATGCACATGTTTGGCGGCGTCATGACGGTCACTCAAAAAATTTAGATTTCAAACGCCAGCATCTATCACAATTTTTTTTTTTCCAGCATCAGTTGGAACTACGAAAAATAAACCCTATTAAATGGTCTCAATAGAATCTCTATGCAAAATAAAAAAATTCAATTCTTCTAGAGCCACCTTGTAAGGCTCATTTAGCTAGATATAATGGGCCAATTCTACTTTAAATTTCATTAGAGTATTATCAAGAAACATCTTATAGGAGGCATTCGAGAAAAGGTTCAGGTAAAATTTATCGCTCATTTTGCATGAACGATCTAGACCAGGGTCGAAATTACACTGAATACTTTGTAACAATGATCAATCTTTTCTAGTCAGATATCGCCTGCCCAATGCTGTCCCAAAAACTTCAAATACATCTATGAAGCAAGAGTGTTCCGCAAATTCATTTACTTTCAACAGATGGCGCAAAACTAGCTGTGACATGAACGTTTTTGCAACAGATGGCGCAGCAGCCCAATCTTTAGTTGAACTTTCTACCAAGGAATGGTGTTAGGCTCACCATAGATTAAACACTCTATGTCACACGTTGCTACTGCCACACCTCAGTTAACATGGTCTTTGCTATTGTCAAGAATGTAGCCAACCCTCCAACTTTTGAAATGAAATTGTTTTGGCGCCAAAGCGAATTCCTAGCGCCTGTAATGACAAGCAAGTCGAGCCGCCTCGTTGTCTTCTTTACAGGCTGCAGGTACATGGTGTCTGATATCACAAATAAGCCCAGTCGCTCCCAACCGGCTCCTTGGCGGCAACCCGGATGCGGCACTTGGCGTCGGAGGCGACACAGGCAACCCGGATGCAACACCCGCCGGCAACACCGAGCACGACAACACCCCCCCCCCCCCCTGGTGCCGAATGCGCCACCTTGCGCCAACACAGGCGTCATGCGACTATGAGTATCTGACGTCACGAGGTCAAGCGATGACCTTGATCAGCGACAATGTTACAAGGGGCAACCGATGACCGACATCGATGACTGATCAATTTTCAATGATGCAGTACCTGTTGATCGATTGTTGGGGCAATCGTGTACACCTTTCATACACATTAATGTATAGACCTTTTAAGTTTATTCTCGTCTCCAGCCACGCAGTTGACAAATCTGGTATGCAGGTGAAAAAAAAGCAAGGCATTACAACCTGGAACAAGTAAAACAATTGATAGACAGTTGCGATTAAAACATGAGCTTCTCCCAGAGGCGTGGCGAGAGCAAAATGACGATTTCCCGCACACAGGAAGGTCCGCGATTCAAGATGGCGGCACCAACGTAGAATCGTGAAATAAATTATTAATATAATTTAACTATTTGTCAATTAATTATGTTACCTGGCAAGTGGCAGCATCAAGGTGTGTAGCACCTACATAAAGCAGGTTGTTCTGGATGTTGTAGACAAGAGAAGGTATGGCCACCTGCACAGATCACAGAGAAACCCACACCCTAGAATTTAAAATATTCACTGCCAAGCCAAATAGAAAAAGATGCACACAAATCGCTCCCAAACCATTGAAGAAAATGACCTACTTCAGAACATAAAACTAAAAATAAAAACAAAGCCAAAATCGCAAAAATAGAAACTGAGACTGAAGCTTCCTTGCAATTTGTGTGAAGCAGCAGCTTCCATCAAGAACTGCTGCCAATGCTAAGTCCTAAATATTTCATCTTCTCGCAAACAATGAAACTAATGTGATATTTTTACAATCTCCATGGAAATGAGTTTTTGTACCTGGAAATCTGAGAGATTTTCAACAGTGTAAAAAGGTTTCCATTACCATTGGAACAGCTGGTTATCCATAAAATAAAAGCTAACAGTGTTTTTGATTTAGTGACAAAAGGCATCCAGGTAAAGGATGCCTCTTGTAAACTATGCATGATGACAGATGTGTGGAGCACAGATATGCAACGAGCGAGCCGCTCTATCAGCACTATTTTATCTAAAATAATGTAGATGATATGACACTGTTGAAGTTAAAAAAGTAGTAATGCTTTGACTAAATAGCCCTTTTTCTGGCAAACAGAAGAGGTAGACATTTATTTTCTTATACTTACCAAATCCCCAACTAACTATATTTTCAGAATCACCAGCCCTTGCCCTTTCCAGTATGCTACTTATTATAGCAAAATTCATAATAGTTATTGTGAAATTGGCACGTGAAAATGATGCCAAAACCAACATTCACATATACCCATGCTTTTCAGTGCCGTTACCTCAGAGGAAGGCAGGCCTGCAGGTCTAGCGGGCATTCTAGAAATTAACTATGCTGAGCATTTGTTTCATGCTGCTGCACTTCGCTTCGTGCTGTTGCGCAGGTGCTGGAGCGACCTTCCAAAGCATTCATCTGAGACCATGAAATGGACTGTAATCAGTTAGGAACAAAGTCTACTGTCCAAAGAGTGAACCCCTGTCTTCCACTGACGTCACTTTTTCACTGTGGCCAATAGAGACTTTCCCATTGAAAAACACAGTGAGGACCAAAATTGTAAATACAATAACTTCGCAAAACAAATTTAATGTGACCCAATACTTGCGTCACTATTTCAGTGATGCTTGTTAGCCTGAACTAAGTTTTCCCAAAGCCCAAAGTTAGCCCAAAGTTTTCTAAAACTAGAAGCATTCCGTTCGCGCTGAAAGACACAGTGGAGAAAGAGCTGGAAAAGCTGTTTGGTCTGGGGGTGATTGAGCCAATTTCGAGCGGACGTTCTCCCTCACCAATTGTACCGGTGGTAAAGAAAGATGGCAGCGTACGCATCTGCGGGAATTATAAAGCATTGTTGAACCCCTGCTTAAACATTGACAGCTATCCCTTACCCAAGATTGAAGAAATCTTTGCCTCTCTCGGGAGGACAAGTGTTCTCCAAGATCGACTTGAGTAGAGCATACCAGCAAGTGGTAATGGACAAGGTTTCCAGCGAGTACTTCACCCTCAATACGCACAAAGGACTGTTCGCGGTGAATCGCCTAGCATTCGGGGTTGCGTCAGGAACACCGACGATTTTTCAAAAGGTGATGGACAACATGTAAAAGGGACTGAAAGGGGTAATATGCTACCTAGATGACATTCTGGTCATGGGGCAGAGTGAAAGAGAACACCTTGAGGACATAGATTCGCTACTAACCCGGCTGCATGAAAGGGGAGTGCGAATTAAGACAGAAAAGTGTGAATTTTTGAAACCGGAGTTGCTGTTTCTGGGTCACGTGACCAGTAAGCGTAGAATATCAGCAACGCCAAAGAAGGTGTAGGCCGTGCTAGAAGCCCCCGTCCCAATCGATAAAAAGCAGCTGAGAACGTTTACGCGCATGGTTAATATACTACGGGAAATTTCTGCCAGAGTTATCAACAGTAATATTCCCATTGAATCAGCTGCTCTGCAAGAATGCGCCATGGGATCGGAATGAACAGTGCGATCTGGCGTTTAAGAAAGTGAAAGAGTTGCTTGTAAAAGCGCCAGTGTTAGCACATTATGATCTGGAAGCCCAGCTTGAGGTAGTGTGTGATGCTTCATCACATGGGTTGGGTGCCGTCTTGACAAAAGTGGAAAAAGATAGGTCCAAAAGGCCGATCGTCTTTGCATCGCGCACACTATCGCCAAGTAAACGGAACTGCAGCCAGTTGGAGCGAAGTTCCATTACTACATTTATGGCAGACAGTTCGGCTTGGTAACTGATCACAAGCCTTTACAGACGATTCTCGGTCCAAAGAGAGGGATACCAAGCATTGCCGCAGCTCGTTTGCAGAGGTGGGCAATTACGCTGTCAGCGTACCGTTACAATCTGGTTTACCGTTCAGGTGACAGCAATGTAGAAGCAGACTGCTTATCGCGTTTGCCACTTCCCGAGAGTTGCAAAAAGGAAGACGACGACGAAGTAACCTCCTGTTATGCACTTCGATGGGAATCCTTTCCAATAACAAGCTCACACATCGTGCGAGAAACTTCCCGAGGCCCGAACCTACGACAGGTACTTCACTTCGCTTACGGAACAATGGCCTGAGCGCGTTACGGATGAAGGGATGAAGCCTTTTGTTTTGAAAAGACTGGAGCTGTCGGTGAACCGAGGACATTATTTTGAGGAATGCGTATTGCGCACTTTACAGAAGAGAATCCTGGACGAGCTGCACGACGGACATCCCGGCGTGGTGCGGATGAAGGGGGCAGTGCCCTAGCATAGACACCCTGCGATGATCCAGCTATCAAAGGGGGCTGCACCCTAGCATAGACGCGTGTCGATGATCCAGCTTTTTGTTTATCGGAATACAAACATCAAACAGATTATGAGGAAAACGCCAGAGTACCCTTTTCTTTTTATTATTTACGATATTGAAATGAAATTTTTCCAGTTTACGGCACCTAATCTTCTTTTTATATGTCTGGTGTTAGATTCAATATAGCTTATTTTTAAGGTTATCAATGCAATATACATGCAGAAAAAGCCGTGTTCTCGTACACAAGTGAGGCATGGCAACACACTTGCTAGCAAGCATTTCTTAAATTTTTCATAAATATAATAAATATACATTCTAACCAAAGCTAGATAGTAGTTGCATTCTACAAATTCTAAGGTACATGCATGCCAAATTTGGTTGTGAAAGGACAATATTAAGAACATAAATTCTTGCACACAAACTCTGAAGATGCCCCCAAAATTACACAAAAAATAGAAAAAGTGTTTGAATGTTACCATAGCTGTGCAGCTATACTCTTTCACAGTGCAGGAAATAATATTTTGTAAACAAATTTCCATAAGAAACTGAAGCTACAGAAGACTGTGATGGAGAGGAGATCGCTAGGCATACTTGTCAATGTAAATGTGAAGGCGGGCGACATCGTAACTTGAAGAACCATGCAGAGAACAATGGCTCAAATTCATGTCGTTCTGGTTTGCCTGGAGGTCTTCTATTTGATCAATTTCGCGATCATAACCGGCACTAATTATTTTTATACATAACATATAATGATTCAAAAATAGTAAAACACCATAAAACCCAAAATCACAATTCTTGCAAAATATTGCCGTATTTCGACCCACACTCTCCTCGAACACTTCCGCTCCTGAACAAGGTGGCGAATTTTTGTAGCCTTTGGAGGATCAAATCCGTGCGCTGCCTTCGGGGAATGGTCGCTTATAGCACTGTAAGACAAAATTCACTCTTATGATGAAAGGATGAAGCGTAAAAAATTAGAAAATATGCTCGAACCAAAAGTGTGCCAAAGCTATCCTACAGGTGGTGCCACCGAGTTTGTTGCCAAGCAAAGAAGGTGCAAATACAGTATAGCCTCAACATTTTCAGAGCTGATGAATAGAATTGTTGTAGCCAGAAGCCTTGAAGCAGTAACAGCTTAGCAGGATACCTCCGAAGCATTATTCCTAATAATTAAAGGGATTGTCCGGTCGAAACCGTACATACCTAAGTTGTTGCGCTCGTTACGTCAAAGGAGCCTCCATATAGAAAAATGTCACTTTTTATTTAGATATATGATGTCCCACTTTTAATTAAACCTTTCATGAGCGTGTGTATGAATCTACACCCTGAATTTCGCCAGTGTCAATGGTTGACGTCCGTAGCTGCTGTGCGACGTCACAAAACACAAAGGATCATCGGATGGTTGGGATAACAAGCGTTGGTCAATAGATGTCTTCATTTTGGTTTGAATTATATCGCCTCCTAGGCTGTACCCTACTGAAATATTTCTTGTAATTCAGTTTCCAAGCATGTGCAAAAAAGTAGCACCTTTTAGCAGGATATTACTCGAAAACAGCCATTAGCTTCGGGCAAACGTATGCTGTTTCGTGCATACAGAAATGCGATGGCCACCAATCGGACAAGGAGCGCTTGCGAAGAGAAAGACACAGATTTTTCCTCTGCAGCGGCATCTTGGTTCAGATATCAGCGGATCCTTTGGATCGGTGATACGGCTGCGGGTCATCCCCTGGGAAGTAATGCCCGCGAGTTGAAGGCAAACAGCAAATCGTTCAAAATGCATGTAACATTTCTAGATCACCTCTTGACTCTGGCGAGCTTGGTGAATCATAGCCACGCTCCATTTTCACACGCGTGTCACACAGAATCAGCCAACACGCATTCTAAGTATAACTTTTGACTGTCTCAAAATTGCCTAGCTGCTGGCTTCGGTTTCGCTGCATAATCAAACCGATTGATCCGATTAGGGTGAGGAGTGGGTGGACGTAGTTACATATCATTGGCACAGCATCACACCACATCTTACGAGCCTTCTGACAACTTTCAGCTCAGCTCATAGCTCTCTTCTGTGAAATGATTGCTGCATAAGCGGGATCTTGACGGGAACCATTGCTCCCTACGCATGGCGATGATCCATTATGCCCATCGCTACACATTCCGCAGATCGCAGGTGCTGCTTGGTGGTTGTGGCACCCCATCGTGCAACAAAATCTCACCTATCCATGAAACAAGTCGAGCACAACAACAAAATCTAAGCATGCTGCGGAATTCATTTGAAGGCAAACGACGAGACAGAAGTGCTCACTTTGCGTTATGTGACGTCGGAGCTTCAATGTTACCAACGAAAGCACCGTTTATGCTAGGGTGTGATTGGAGCAGTTTAAAATTCAATTTCTCATGCAGAGGGGCATATAAAATTCAGATATTGCACGGATGATGCGTTTCGAGGCCATAAAAATTATATTCAATTGTTTTCTGAAACAAAATTTGACTGGATAATTTCTTTAAGATAGCACATTTTTTAGCATGAAAGTCACACCAGTGAAATTTTTCTAAATAGCAGATTTGAATAGAAGGATCTCTCGACGAACGAGATAGCACAATGAACATAAACAAGCAAGTTGGACGACGGTGCTACCCACGAATGTTTCAGGATTCATACAGGTTTTGAGGCCAAAACTTCTAGGATTTTCAAAGACCTCCAAGGCCTTGTACCTGGTAGTTCATAATACCTCGCCTTCTTTAACGCACTTTAAATGCTTTTTTTTTTAGAGCGCAGCTCTTAGGCGCTCGTTCCAGTGTTTTGCGGCGTCGGTGTTGCCGTAACTGAAGGATGAGGGGGAGGGTACAGATGAGGAAGGAGGCGTGTTTTCCGTACACTTTCCTCCTCCTATATACAGGGTGTTTCACGAAAGGTGGATAAATTCGATATTGCGAAAACTATGCGTCGCGAAAAAAAAAAAAAGGCTTGTGTCGTTTTGGTCCTGGGCCAGGGGCCTATTCATGAAAATTATTAAAGTCCGGGATAATTAGATTGTTAACTATTTTTGTGTAATCAACTTTTTTAATGTTGTGTTTAAGGGCATGGTTTCAATCAGAAAATTGCTCAGCATCATTGAAAATCACTAAATCAACAAATTGCAGAACAATAGAAGGCACACGAAGCATTTTCCAGCTTTCGGAAAAACTGCTCAAATTCTACGGGTTTTTAAGTTTCGGTTTGCAATCGGAGCGCATCTCGGTCCGGACGGTACTGCGCCCCGTGGAGAAATGGTGCAACCAACCTCTGCTGTGCTGTCCTCGCGCAACGTAGCAGAGGCTGGTGGCACAAGGACAGAAATAGAAAACAGTAGAGCAACATCGCTCGGAGGCGGGTTATCTATTACGATATGTGGCACATAGACGCTGCTTCACCTTGAGCGTGTCGAAGGGCTGCAGCACTACAGTGCGATGCAAAGCGGTCCGCCACTTCTGGAAGCTACCTTCGTCCAAGCGGACCATGACCAAGCAAGTGATGAGCTTGATGACCTCTGCCATGATGACCGCTGTGCTCGAGATGAACAGATCCTTCTGTGTGCGAGCCATTCGCATCGTCAGGTTGAGCGCTGCATTCTGGACTGTCAGCGTCACTAGTGAGGCGTATTTCAGCATGCTTTGAGTTCCTGTAAGACCAAAGATAATAAAAATCTAGTAGTATATACATTTCTCAGGAGAACACAGGGTTGCGTAAGCTACGCCTGCTTCTCACATATTAGAGAACTATAAATGTTTATTCTAAAAGTAATTTTTTTTTTCTTTTTCAGCTTTTTTTAGATTTGTGCAAGTTTTCAGGATTCTGAGGTACAGCGCGAGTTAGCACGAATGTACTCGTCTGTGTTTCGTCCTCTCTGTTTTATACTTTCTGTTATCTAGTACATCGTACCAACACGCTCGTTAGGAATATAACGAACAAACACTTACCAGTTTTGCTCGTTTCTTTTTTTTTTTTCTTTAATGAGTGGTTGTTACTGAAACAACCCGTGTGGTATGAAGTGCTTATATTGAGCACCAAGTTAGGTGATAAAATTTTATGTCAATCACTACCTCGTACAAACAAACGAAAAGGTGAAAAGCGCAGATGCCGTGTTCGTATTAGCTGTTGTCACGCCGTAGACACCTTTGGCGGTTTCATCGTGTGGGCGGGGTCTTTAGGGACGGCCGAAAGACCCATATTGACTTCCAGAAGCCACTAAAACAATCATCTGTGATACTCACCGCTTTTGAGCTGCTCCGCGATCATTGTGTTTGGTCCTATGTGGAGAATCTCTTCTTTGTTAGTTGGCGACATGGCTGAGCTGTTCTCGGTGGTATCGCCTTCACGGTATTCCCAGCCAGGTAGCTAGTTAATTACCGGTGACTTTAATCAACCGATATACTTGTAGCCTAAGGCTAAACATTGTTTACGAATCCGAAGTTGCATGACGAGAATACATCGCAAACGTGGCGAGCGATTGACGAATGTGACAGGTGGCCAGGTGGCGATGTTCTTGGAAGTATGTTGAATCCGGTGTTTACCGTGGCATTAAGATCGTACGTAAACAGTAACCCGTACGGTTACTTCCCGAAATCTACAACGCTAACCACTGTGAGCTCAGTACCTGATCCCTGGCAAACTCCGGTCCACGTGTACCGCCTCAAAATCTGTCCACCACAACTTTTCGAGCGCAAGCTGTACAAAAAAGAAACTAACATCACCCCTTCGGATTTTCCGAGAATTAATGTGAGGCCCTCTTGTGGGCATTATGAAAATGGTAAATACAGACGAAATTATTTCGCTGACAAAATTATTATGATCATAAAATTTCAATAAAACTATATTTTGCTAATTTGTGCTTGGTATAATATTTGTTTTACGTTCGTTATTAGTGAAATCTAGCCCCAACTCCAGCAACAATGGTAACATTTTGCTTTCTTTTTTGTGCATGGCAATGCAAAGCGTAACCTGCCGACTGCCGTAGCAAACGTAACCAAGCACTGGCGCTCAGTATCTCAGTGGAACACGTGCGTAAGGAAGTTTGCCTATTTAAGCTCCACATTTATTGGCTGCCAGCCTTCTAAACTCCTGCACACTGAAAGACGGAAGGGCCATGTCATACTGTAAAAGTTTCGGTAAGCACAGTCCCAAGATTCGTGTGGCACGTATCGGCGAGCCTCTCGGGAAAGTCACTCCAATGCCGGGTGCTGATACGGGGCTTTGGAATGAATGAACTCATCTTTCTTTCACATCCAATTTGTCCGGATATTTGTTTCATACCGAGTTTGTGTTCTTCCTATTTTTCCTTCTCGACTTTTAGGAAAAGACCGTGTGATATTCGTCACGAAAGAAGACCACGAAACTCCGAGCACGGTGACTCTACCTGAAGACCCCGAAGACGAGCGCGCCGGTATGAACACACCTTTACATCGTTCATGAAATGCGATGCATGCTGTACCAGAAAACCCAGCATTTCTCGAAACTCCGTGTTTGGACCGATGCAACGGCGCCAGTAGAGCATAATTGTGACGCGCAACCAAACGTTTCCGCTTTCAGAGTGGCGCAAGAGCAGTTCTTCGCGTAACGCTGAATCGCTTTCGTTTATCGCGCGTCACATTGGCAAATGGTCACGCGGTAACCCCTCTTCTTTTTTTGGCACGACAGTTGGTTAGCTTGCAAGTGCTGCGCCGACGCGTCCTTTAATCGGTAAACAGGACGAGGACGATTGAAGACGACGTGTAGTGTGTTCCTGTTTCCGCATGGGCAGCAGCGCTTGGAAACAACACGGTACATGTCGCACCGCTGTGTCACAGTCAGTCCGGTTATACTCGAAAGCGAACAACTCCTACGGGCACACCATTTACTTCCACAAAGGTCTGCTTTTGAGAAATGCCAGGTCACCTGTAAAGTGAGCCCACCCCTCACAAAGAGAGATTATGGAAAGTTGGACCCACTTTACAGCCACGAAATTTAATTGTAAAAAATCTTTGGTCTAGTTGGTTTGTTATTTGACAGTAGAGATATTCAGCGCAGATGCGTGTAGAGCCTTTTATCCAGCATCTTCTCCACACAACTCGGCATTCACCAAACACACTGAAATCACGTCGTCTGCATCGATTGAGCGCAAGGCAGAGGATGACACAAGTGCTGCATCAGCATTTAATTAGGGCACTTGTTTAATCGGTGCTTCACTAACTGAACAGGGGTCTCAACCAATTTGATGCAGCATTCAAATGCTACATAAAAAAAAAAAGTTATTTGTTTGCTGCACACACACAGCTGAAATGAACTGACGGGGGGGAACCATTCAATCTCTTGCCCAGTAGTCAGCATGTGGCATATAAAATAAGAAAGTAAAATTCAGCTTAAAAAAAATATAATAATAATTTTGTGGGTTGTCTACACCTAGTGTATAGTCAGCAGTATGCTTTGACTTGCTAGAAATGCTCAGTGCATTACTAAATTCACGACAGCATTCTGTGCCGGCTGTATACCTTTCCAGTGCTCTTGCCACCATGGTGAAAAATGCCAAGCCACTGGGCTGTGGATCCACGCGCAGTGTCCGATATTCCGAGCTACTGCGCGAGCTCGAGACACGTTCTGCAGCCCAATAGACAAAGATGGCTGTGCACAGAAGGCGTTTATTGAAATGGTCTGTAATGAAATGCAGACTATAAGAATGCACCAAGTAAACACCACCACAAATCGGCCACGGCATTGAATCCTTCCGCATACCCACCAGGAAAGGCTGTAGCCATGACGAACTAAGCGTTGTCAGCACGACGTGTGCCTCGGTAGCGGACTATTTGTGCAACATGGAGGGAATGGTAGTGTGCAGTTATAAAGGTGAGGGAGGAGCTTCTTGCACAGTTTTTTTTACTATAGCATTTGAATGGAGTAAAACAGTCCAAATGTAAGTTTGTATTATTTTCCTAATTCATATTGGGAATGTGGTTTTGAAAGACTCCGCTTTCAATTCATATGTATTAACGATTTTACAGCAGCAAGCAGTGGGTGTTTGGGCCATCAAGATCATGCATGATCTTCTTCGTCCGTTTTGAGTACAGCTATCTTGCAGGGGCATTGGGGACGAAAGCAACATGCTGATAATTTGAACTCCTTTTTTCTTGCTTTTGTCCAGCAATAGACAATGTGATTCTGATAATTGCACCGGGTCTGTCTGGTGATAACAAACAATCTTGAAAAACAAATCCTTGTATAGTGAGCACCTGTAGGTTAATCCACACAGGGTAAAATATCACCTTTAAACATCTAAAATCCAGAAAATACTGTGCAACAGGTTCTGACACCGTCCTCCTTGTAAATCAAAAGTGACACAATAAATGTGGGGCATTCTTTTTTTTTTTTTTTTTTGTAGTTTAGGATATAAGTAGGATTCCATGTTTTTGGAAAAATGTAAAAACGCTCGCCGGTAAAGCTTTCGTTGACTCATATTTATCCTATACACCGACATGCCGCTGCGGTGGTGCTGCTATCGCTGCTATTGGCAAGGCACATGCACAGACGCTCCACTTGACGCAAATCTGGTTCCTACGCACAAACAGTGCCCACAGCTTGTGCCGGAACTGCACATTTGCCCACACCTCGTGTGGGCTTGTTTGTTAACAGCGTGTTGGCATAAACTCAGTTCAGTGTTTCAGTGCAAGAAAAAAAAAAACAGGGTCGACGGTCCAAAGAAAATGTCACCCGTTTTTTTTTTTTTTTTTTTTTTTTTCAAATTTTTATTTATTGAAAGGAGGGTTCCTTGTTTGCATGTTTTGTTCTGGGACATGTGAGTATTGCAAATGGCAAGGGATGCAAAGCCAAATCCAGCTGGAAAACTGTTACTTGTTACAAGCTGTTTATTTTTTTTTTTTAATCTAGCACACTTGCTTCCCGATATTGTTTATTTTTAAGCTATTAAATATTGTAAGTAAGCTTTATTTCCTTAAACAATCACACGTCACCAAAGTAACATATCGGTACAGCTTTTACCACACCATTCAAGTTCCTTTTTTTCTTTTTTTTTTTTTTATCTAATCGGGTACATGGATGTACTATCGGGGAAAAATGAAATGCGAACAGAGGAGCGCGTGGCTCGCGGTACAGGCTGCGCCACCTGGAAGTGAGCCTAGGGGCAAGGGTGCGTGGCCTACTCCGATGTGTTCACGCCCCTCGCTCAGCGCTCCCCAAGCTTCGGCAGCTCGCCTCTCAGTACGCTGCAAGCATCACCGCTATCTTTGCTGGCTCAGCGCGTGCGGTGCGAAGAAGCTCGCCGCGCACGCCGAGCGATCAAAGATAGCGGGGATAGCTTTTAGCGCACTGAGAGGCGCAGTGCCGAAGCTTGGGCAGCGCAGAGCGAAGGGCGTGAACACATCGGAGTAGGCCACGCACCCTCGCCCCTAGGCTCACTTCCAGGCGGCGCAGCCTGTACCGCGAGCCACGCGCTCCTCTGTTCGCATTTCATTTTTCCCCGATAGTACACTGCCCGACACAAGTGGCATTAACATGACATTGACACTCTTATGCCCCTCACTAATCTAGGCTAGCATTTATTAAATTTTAGTGCCCAAGTCGGCAATCAATGTAAGCACTTTAAACTATTTATATCCTTTTATGACTTCCTTTTTTTTTTTTTTTTTCTGAGAAAGTAAAGATAGAAAGCTGGTTATCCCTGCCATATTAAAACAAGAATAACTTGATTTTCTCAGTTAGTTAAAAAGCTTTATTGGCTTTTTTTTTAGAGTTTTGACTTGATTGCAATTGCAATCAAATCAGAATCTGAATTGATTGCAATGGAATGTGACGTAACTGACGAACAAAGCGGAAGGTCCGAACGAAGTGAAAGGATCCGATTTGCTCAGGAGAACACTTTTTGCTCGTGTTCAGCTTTATATGAATCTTTCTTGCCTGATGATTTTTTGAATTAAATAGAAAACAAATGCACATAGACAACATCGAATGATGGTCAAATGGTAAATAAAAACTATTTTTAGAAGTATTTTGCTGGGAAAGGTTTAATTTGAATTGTCATATTAAAAGTGGTCAGATTTATTTTTATTCTCCACCCTGCTAAGATCCCTCAAATCTTTTCATCAAATATTTCTGCAAGCCCTGTTAAATGTTGTCATAAGCTGAATGCCAGTTCGTGTCTGTCTTAATTGTATCTTCTGCAATTACATTTCCTACTGATCAATGACCACAAGCCCAATGAAGGCCCTCATTTAGGCCCCGTGCAAACTTGGTCTTTCTCACTTGTTTGTATTTTTAGACAGTGGAAAGAAGGTTCGTCCCAGTGGGTGTCTATTGTCTCTGCTATAGATGAGGAACTTAGCCAGTGCAGTACTACTGTTAGCCCGGGGGTCTTTCAACGTGCATCATGCAGTAGTGGCACACAAACACATGCCGGTGCAATTTTCATTTACATTGAAACTGGCAGGGGTGAGCATTAAACCCAGGATCCTTGGGTTCTGCAGCGTGAGCTTTTGCTTCACATGTTCAGAGCTGGTGCGCGTCAACACCTGGTCCCCCGGTCTCTCTCAGGTCTGATCCTCGCCAATGGAGACATCAACTGGAACTGTCCGTGCCTGGGAGGCATGGCCACCGGACCTTGTGGACCCGAATTTCGAGAAGCCTTTTCCTGCTTCCACCACAGCACGTCGGAGACCAAAGGCAGCGAATGCTTCGAGCACTTCAGGACCATGCAGGAG